ACATGGGAAAATAACTGATTATACTTGTTACCCTTTGTAAAAATAGAGAGTAATGCCTGAGATGCATGTGGTGGTGTGGCTAGTATTCTATCCAAAAACATCGATTTCCCATTGAATATCGGTAAAACATTCGAATAGAACGCTGACTATGGAATTCGTGGCTAATAATAAAATTAATTTTCACTAAGCACCACATATGTATCGGAAATATCTATATCCTAAGTAGTACGGTAGCGCACTGCCACCAAAGAGAAATCGAAATGACATTGATATTATAGACACCGATAAAGGAGCCTTTCATATATTCTACTGGTGACTTAAAGACTGCATACTCCTATGGGGATCGCTACAAAATTGATCAAGGAGGCCGATTATTGGAAAAAGTAATTGACGTACTGAATGAGCTCATCCTAATCACTCTGGTGGATCGCACTCATAAATTTTATAGTCAGTAACAACAGGACTAAGTTGCGATTGAATCTTCAGATACTTTGCCCAATAGCACCAGATGAATGTACCTAGGAACTGTTATGGACTTCCCTTAGACGATAGTGAATCATTTTCCAATACTGATTGATATCCAAAACCAAGGGTCAATTCGTCATGAATGGGGCAACCCAAATCCAATTATAGAAACAGGTTAAATTGCGCTGGATTGATGGCAAGAAAAAAATTGATGAGGGCACCTCAACGGAAATGAATAGCTATTTTCAAGGACGATAATATAACGATTGACCAGATAGTAGAGATTCCTGTGAATATCATACTCATATATTGTACTATCAGTGACACAAATTGAACCATGGCCCGTATTAAGTTCAAAGGCTTATCCTGGCATGGAATTGAACTCAATGCAAATCTAGGCTATTTAGCAATAACGCTTAAAAAAAGCATTTTAACCGGTATAAAAAAGATAGAGATAATGATAAAGCGATATCAAACTATAAGAGAACTAGAGCATTGCCGCACAGAACTGTAAAAATTAAACACAAGGCCTAGATCAATTTGGACTGAATATATCTATCCTAAAACTGCCAAATCGAACTCAACAGAGAGCTGGAAAAACAAATCAATCCATACGGGTATGAAGCCTAATAGTACTATACATTTCTTTTGGCGCTGCAATGACAGATAATTTGCGACCCCAAAATTATGTGCTGAGGAATTTGCCGAAACTTTCATGAAAAATTGCCGAGCAGCTTCCAAATTATCGCGACGAGAATTCATCAACTTATAAAGAAAAGCAGCTGAGCAGGACCAACTATGAACCACTATTGATGACAGGCATCTCATGATAAGACATGAATTCTCTCCAATTTTCATGCAACGAACTAGCAACAAGTTTTTAAAAAAGATCAACACCAGGTCCTGGCCCAGAACAAAATTCCAAACTGCTAAAAAGAAATCTCCCAAGAGAGGTATTAACATTTTTATTAAAAATATACTAACGCATATATGAGCTAAATAATGTTTTTCCTAGAACTCTGGCAAGACTGCCAAGCACAGCTCTGGGATTCCATTCCCAAACCTGGCAAGAGACAGTCAAATAGCTATAATTACGGACCAACTACTCACTGACGCTGCAACCTATGGCAAATATTAGAAAAAATGTTAACAAAAAGAATAAGGTGGTTGCCTTGATCTCAAATTTAATAAAAGTACACCAATTTGGGATTCAGAACTGGAACACTCCACCACCTCACAATCGTTATCAGTGTCACACAGACAACGATAATACAAGAGCCTTTCTTCAAGGACAGCATGTTATCTTAGTAAATCTAGACATCGGAAGCTATACGTTGGTATAGGACAGCAACCGGCATAGCTACTAAATTATCAGCATTGCGTAATCAAGGGCAATATGTTTAGTTCCTTACCAAGCTTTATTTAGCATTATCTAGTGTGTAATTCAAGTACGTATAGTTGTTTAATATTTATCTACATAATAGGGATAATTAATATATGGGCTCCGCTCGAAGGATCGGTACTCAGTTGTGACTCTATTATTTAATCGCCATAAATGATGCTGTATGATGAATACTTGTAAGCCCAGTTGTCGTGGCGGAATACGACGCCGCATGATATGGTGTGTACTTATGCAAGAGGCAAGGCAATTCGATTCAACCAAATGCCAGATAAGCAAACTGCCTGAAACTTGTATTTACCAAATGGTCAATGAATAGCCGGTTTCAAACTTCTCGCTGATAGTAATCGTCGCATGTATATATTTTTTCTAACAAAATTAAGCCCGTCCAACGTCCGAACTATCCTGGAAAAAGCATAAACTGGTCACACATACAAAAATCTTGGACTTATAATTTGACCACAAGGGCTCACATGGCAAGAACATATCTCTAATACACATGACGCAGAATGCAAATCAACTGTAACTCCCTGAAGTAAGTCCTAAATCACGAACAACTGGGATCAGACAAACAATAACCTTATACTACGTATTACACACAAAGCATTATAACGAAGTAAGATAGATTACGGGACTCTATTGTGCATATATATCAGCGTGCAACTCCAACTCTCAAGAAACTGGACACAGCTGCAGCAATTGCGAGACTCACAGAATAAGCACTGGTTGCTTTCACACAAGTCAATTGAACGTATTCTCATCGAAGGCGGCTGAAACTAACCTCAACATTTCGAAGACAAACCTGTCAATCCAATGCGCAATTACAAGCCCGTAAGAACAATCCTTAAATAAGAATAATTAACGTAATGATGTATCTCTGGAATTAAGAAGTGGAAATCCACAGTGCTTGCCTACACCTTTCCTCTAAATAAAGTAGCTACGGCTTTCAGCTCCTCAAACATTATCGAGAGGCGTGCGTCTGGTCAGACACACGGTCAGATCTCGTGTGCACCGGACGGTCAACATGATGGTGAAGTCGAGAAGGACGGTATATCACGTTAGAAGGTTCGTCGAAAGCCTGACTTAGCGGCAATGGAAGATTCAACTAGGGACGTGTAATAGGCAAAATACTAAGCAAATTTTATACGGACAATAATACACGAATTTGAGGATGCTGAAGGGGATCCAATGTAAAATCAGTTGAGAGCAAATGCGATATAGAAAAGCATGGGGGTCGCTGCTTACCACATGCAAGTTCGCTGCGAGTGCGCTCATTAATCAAAAGGATACGCCGCTTACAGTTCCCTGACGTCAACACTCATGAACGTCATAACTCCCGTTGAAAGATATTTCACAGATACATATTACTTGAACTAGCAATGGCTCAATAAGCGGAAGCGTCTGGATATCAAATAAAGCTACAATCTTACATTTGACGGAACTATAACATTTCTAAGGCTTAGTGCAGTCCAATTCTTTAAAATTACCGTTTTAACTTGGGGAGCGGAACTGTCACATGCATGCAGCTTAACGATACATACTCCGAGCCTTCATTAATGAAAATCGCTAAAATATCTTCATATATGGACAATCAAACCCTCGAATTAAAAGACCATGATTAACCTCAAGGCTTTGATCTTCTTTCTGTTACCAAGTACGTAAAAACCGAGGATACGTAAATGACACAATAATATTGCCAGACAATGGACCTTACCCTGACAAAGCAAGTGTCAAAAGATTTGTTACATAGGGAAGATCTCCAGCAAGGAACCGAAATGGCGATGTCATAGTTAGTAATACCGCTAAATAATCGATTTATTCATATCACACAATCGGACGCGCAGAGAGTGAACTGAGCGCGAACAAGTTTTAATTGACACGAACTAGAATCTGGGCCATTCTAAAATTACACACAGTGACTTGCTGGAGTAATACTCACCACCACTATGTGATATGTGGCCAAGAATAACTGATGCGAATCGAACATTTATTTATGTCCTCGGTGTAACATTGATCACATTAGAACTGAGTGTATTTTAAATCCAGAATGAAATTGAGACATCCTGTACTCTGTCCCTTTTCCAGAACGCAGATTTGTCAAATTTTGCAAAACACAATGTCATGCTTGAAATAATAACACGTTCTGGGTGAAGCCGCGCCGCTTATACTGCTAGAGTTTCATATGTTATGATCCTACCCCGATGATTTGTATGATTGTGTTACAAGTATGTAAGTTAATAGTTATGTTATAACTTATATGTTATTATTAATGTACTTATGTTAATTGTATGTTATGTTTTGTGTAACCTCGAAACGATGTTAGATACCATAGCCCTGATTGTTCTGTATGATGATGGTAATGTAAGATAGTATATGTGATTCTGTATTATGTTGACGGCAATACATTCTGATACTTTTGGGTCTTATGTATGAAGATGAACAGAAATCATAAGTGTCTGTAAAC